AAGGCGACCATGGCGACGAAGCCCCCTGTACCGCCGGCTCCGAAGCCCGCGACAACAGTCTCTGAAAAGACTCTTCCCCTCGTACCCGCGGATCCCCTTGCCGTGTCTGAAACTGGCCCGTCTGCCCCTGTTGCTGCTCCGTCCGCTCCGGCCTCCTGGCTCTCTTTGTTGAGCCGCCGGCGTCTGCTCCTGCTGGGGATGCTGCTGATCTCCCTGTTCCTGTCCCTAGCGCGCCTGTTGAACCGCCCGCTTCTATCCCCGACGTGCCTGCTCCGGCCTCTGCTTCGTCACCGAAGGCGGCGTCCGCCACCACTGGCGGCCCGGCTCCGTTGGCTGCGCCCTCGGCGGCGGGCCGGTCCGCGCCTGCTGTGATGCCGATGGCCCCGGCAGGTCAGCCGCCGCGCCCCCCGTCGCCCGACCGCCGCCTGTCTCGCCCTCATTCCCCCGCGGTCCACCAGGAGCGCGAGTCGTCACGGCGCCGACGCGATTCTCCGCGGCGCTATCATCAGCAGTCTCGCTGGCCTGCTCACCCTGGTGGTAATGGGGGCTGGAGGGGTCCCCGCGGGCGCGGTGGTGGTGGGGCGCACCGCCCGCCCGTGACGATGGCGGATCTTCAGAGGGAGGTGTCGAAGGCAGTGCGCGAGGAGAGGGCGGCGCAGAGCCAGAGCAGTTCGATGCGCGCCTCGCCGGCCCATGAGGCTCCTCGTCATGCTGCGCTCCCCTTCCATCCTCCGCCTGCCGCTGATCCCCCTTCTCAGGTTCACGCCCCAACGGCTCCTGCTCCCGCTGTCTCGGCACCCGCTCCTGGATCGCGTCTTCATCTGCCGCCGGTTCCGCCTGTTGCTGGAGTGGAACGGCGGGGGCTCGGTATTCTCAACACATTGCTGGTGGATCGGCCTTTCTTGCTGCCGATGAGCCTCTTCTGTTCCTGGCGGAGGCGCTTCAATCTCCGCAGACGCATGTGCCGGAGGCGACGCTCGGCCAGCTCCATCGCCTTGCGGAGAGTCTTCACGCGTTGCTGCTGATACAGGTGCTTGCTCACTCGTCCCTCCCCGTGATTCCTCCGGAGACGTTCCGTGACCGCCCGCGTGAGACTTGCTTAGACGCGGCGGACCAGCTCGCAGTGCTGCTGGCGCCCGTGCTGGCTGCGCCCGCAGAGGGTGGCACTGCGCCTGTGGGACAGCTTGACGAGGCTGTCCGGGGCTTGAGGCGACACTTGCGCGCAGGTTCTGGAGCCGCCGCGATCGGCGCAAGTACGCTTGTGGTCCGGGAGCTGTGGCGGACGCTGACGGGCGTTCTTCACGCCCTTGGAGCTCACCGCATGTAGGAGCGGGCTCCGCTTGCCCCATGAGTGCTGCGCGCGGCTAGGCCGCGGTAGGTTTTGCCATGCGTGTAATTCCCTTGAATATAGACAATTTTGTGTGTTGTTTCTTGCCGTTCCCTCACGCGCGGCCGAAGGCCGCGCCGTCGAGCGTCGGCCGCCTTCGGCGGCCGGCGCGAGCCGTTCGGTTAGGAGAAGCAAATGAGAAAGAACTGAACAATGAGGAGAGTGAGCCCCAAAACAGGGCTATATACTAGGCTGGAGAGGGCTGGAGAGGCTAAGGACTAGCTCCTAGGGCCTCTCTCTCTCTCTCTCTCTCTCTCTCTCTCTCTCTCTCTCTCTCTCTCTCTCTCTCTCTCTCTCTCTCTCTCTCTCTCTCTCTCTCTCCTCTCTCCCGCTCGGTTAGGAGAAGCAAATGAGAAAGAACTGAACAATGAGGAGAGTGAGCCCCAAAACAGGGCTATATACTAGGCTGGAGAGGGCTGGAGAGGCTAAGGACTAGCTCCTAGGGCCTCTCTCTCTCTCTCTCTCTCTCTCTCTCTCTCTCTCTCTCTCTCTCTCTCTCTCTCTCTCTCTCTCTCTCTTAAGCCGTCCTTCATTGATAATCAGCAGGGTACAGGCATGGCCCAAGTGAGCCAGCAAGCCTAAACATGCAATCTAGGCAAACAACAACCAACACACAAGCAAGGGACAGCCACAACAGCCACATCCTAAGCCTGCCTGCTGATGGCCAGGACTGCCATGCAGCCTACCTAGTGCCTAGCCCCAAGGACCGCCGCCTGGGGTCCTCCTCACTCCTCCAGCTCCTCTACTCCAGCCCCCTCACCCGTCCAGGTCCGGCCCCCAGTCCAGCTCGTCCTCAAGGACCTGCCAGAGGTCCCCAAGGTGTGGCTCCCACGGGTCGACTGGGGCCTGGGGGTATGCACGCTCAGTTGCCCTGTTGGACTTTGCCAGCAGGGTATTGGCCTGGCCGCGCTGGAGCATCACCGACCAGCACTGTCGGTAGTGTGCTGTGAGCTTGGAGGCGACCGTGGTCAGCCTCCCCTGCCTGTGCTTCTTCTTGGCTGCCTGGGTGCCTAGGAGGCGTAGGAACCGCTGGGTGTCTTGTGCCAAAGCCCCATAGGTTTCTACCGCCAGCCTGAACACCCTCACGAACTCTGGGCACCCCTCGTACAGCCCTCTCTTCGTCCTTGCCGCATCCTCTGCTGCCCAGCCAGGACGCTTCACAGCCCGGGTGTCTCTACGCTGCAGCACGGGGTCGGTTATGGTGACGTCAGTCACGAAGGTCTCGGCCGATTCCCTGTCCACGAGGACCAGGTCCGCTCGCTTAGGGTTGACAATTTGCGATTAGGCGCAGGTCTCGTGGACGGTCATGTAGTCGGCCTCCCTGGCCATCCGAAGGGCAGCGTACACCAGGCAGTTGTGCGTGTTGGTCCTGTCCGTCCCCTCCGCGCACCGCAGCAGATGGTTGGGTAGGCTACGGTCATCTATCTTCGACCGTGGCTTGCCGCAGGGACACTGCTCTGTCACCGCCAGTGTCAGCCCCAGCCGGAAGCCAAGGGCTATGGCAAACTGGCCAGGGGAGAAGGTCAGATCCGCGCGCGTGGGGATTGCGTGCAGCCAGTCTCCAGCCCCCGTCCCCTGCAGGGCAATCAGCCGGACCACGTGGCCGTTGTCCACCCCCGGCTTGTCAATCCGCGTGTCACCCACCAGCTCCGCCGCCCTGTCCAGGTTCACTTGCTTGGACAGCCGTTCCTGCAGGTGGCCCTTCTTCTCCCTCCCCCGTCCGGCCTCCCGCAGGATTTCACGCGCTGGTTCGGGGAGCCTGTTCCGCAGATCTTGCAAGGTCGTCCTCCCCCCACTCGCCCCCCCCTCCTCGTGTGGCGACAGCAGCGCCGCCACTCGTTGGAGAGGGTGGACCTGTGTGTCGGCTCCTTGCAGCAGCAAGTCCTGCGCCGCGCTCAGCGATGCCAGAAACGCTACAGGGGCCTCCGAGAGGGGGTCCACCAAGCCAAGCCCGCCCAGGGCGATCGGCAGCGACGCTTGCCTCCACACGAGGCTCTGCTCTATCTCCTTCGCCGGCGTGTGTAAGTGTGCCGCCTTGAGCGCCGTCCACAGGAGCCTCTCGCTCCATTCCCTCCATTCCCTTAGTGGGAGCACATCCGCAGGCGTGGTTCGCAGCAGGTACGAGACCCTACGGGAGATGCACCGTGTCAGCAACAGCAGTGCGTGTTGGGGATGGAGCTTGCCGATGAGCTCAAGCGGTGCTGCTGTAGTCTCCAGCGTCGCCCTCACCACCTGCCTGCTATACGCCAACGTGCCAATTGGGCTCCCCAACACCTTGATACCATCCACCGCCGCCACCAGTCCTTCCGGTAGGTTTCCCGTGACCCCCGAGGGGCTCCATGCCGTGGACTTGGCTAGGTTGCACCGAAGGCCGAGTCCCAGTAGTTTGTCACACAGCATCGCCGACTCGCCGATCACTGTGATGTCGTCCGCATACGCCATCATGGTGACGGTGGGAACTGCGGCCGCCGTCGTGAGAAGGGCCGGCTGTATCGCCGCAGCAAAGAGCATGGGGCCGAGCGGATCCCCCTGGCGCACGCCGCGTGCGCTGTCGATTGAAGGCGCTGTAAAGCCACTGTCGAGTAGGAGCCTTGAGGGTTTGCCGTATAGGGTGCGTACAAACGGTAAGAGCGGGGTGAGGTCTGTCCATTGCATTGACTCTAGGAAGCACCCCCGTTCTACTGAGTTGAATGCATTCTCTATGTCCAGCTGGATCGCAATTCTTGACGGATCTTCGGCGAGGAGCGTGCGGGTCGTGTGAATGATGCACTCGGCCCCACCGGGGACGGCGACGCCGAATTGAACCGGGAGAAAATACCCGCGGATCTCCGCCGCGAGTTCGCGAAGTGCTGCCTTGGCCGTGATTCTAAGAACCGCCTCGCCAATCGCTATGGGTCTCACGCCTCCGTCCGGCTTCTCGAGCGCTATCAACCTGGCTGGGAGCAGGAGGTCTTGCAGCTGCACGTTCTGGTACGCGCTAAGAAGCCCGTTTACTACTTTGTGGAGCTGCACAAAAACCTCCCCGTTTGTTAGAGCTGGGTCACAGAGGTGTTCAAAGCACGTGCCTGATGGGCCCGCTCCTATTCCGTTCGGGCACTTCGCGAAAAGAATCCGCCCCAATGGCGAGCTCGGACGTGTTGTAACCTCCGGTAACCTCGGGTATCGCCGATTCCGCCCGGGGGTGTTTCGTGCGAAGTGTCTCCAAGGTTACCTGCGACGTTTCCGCCAGCGGCGAAGTTCGCAGCGCTGCCACCGCTTTCGCCAGGTTTGCTTTCCGAACCAACCCCTCCGCTCTGGCACAAACACCCTCCGGGTCCGGCTCGTGACGGCTGGGTTTGGAGTTTGCCGGGAAGGTGCTAGCCTCTTTGTACAGTGAGTCCCAATCCTCCTCGCGAAATTGCCGGAGACGTTTCTCCACCCCTGCCCACCGATTCCCGGGGGTTTTCTCGAGGTTCGCCCGAAGTGTCAGCCTCGGGAGGTATTGCAAGATTCGCCACGCCGCCAGGCAACTCGGAAATTTCGCTAGTCGGAGGAGTGGGAGGGTGAGGCAAATGCTGTAAGTTTTCAGGATTTCGGGTGGAAGCTTCCGGACCAAGAAGGGTTGCGCGTTGGACTACAGTGGCCCCAGATCCCATGCGTGTACCCTCAGCCACGTGCCCTCGTCGTCCACGATGGCAGAGGGACTTCGCTCCTTGCTGGCCGCCACGTTGGCGCCCGCGATGGGCTGCTGCGGTGCAGATTCCCCCACGTCGGCGCCCTCATCCCTCCTTCCACGCCTAGACCCTTGTCCCCTGTCTGTGGCTGGGATGGGTACCCCCTGTTCGGCTTCCAGCGAGGCATCCTCAGATTCGGCCTCTTGCGAGGCCATATAATCTGACCCCACTTCCCCTTCTTCATCATTCATTGGGCCTTCGCCCTGCTCCTCAGGCCTCGCGTGTCTTTCCCGCCAGTTTCCAGATCTCGCTTTTTCTCTTGCCACCGCTCCCGCCAGTTCTCGGCCGCCTCTCCCTCTCCCCCTGCCTCTACCCGCCGCCCTCGGCGCCGCGTTTGACGGCTGTAGGCCTGCCACGCGATCGTCGGCCTGGTCCTGCAGTGCTCGCTGACGGCTCGTTCCAGTCCTCCGCCTGCGTTCTGCCTCCGCCCGGCGTAGCACTTCCTCCTCCTGGTCCGCTCCCTCCGCCAGGTCGGCATCCTCCTCACGTGTTTCCTCCGCCGCGTTCACCGGCCGGCCGGATGACAGGCAAGCGGCGACCTCCTCCTCAGCCGGACCGCCCGGCAAGTCCTCTTGCCTCTCCCATCCCGCAAGGGGTCCAGGGCGGGCAAGTCCCAGCCCTGCTCCGAGCCGCCGCGGATGTAGTTGCGGCCGGGGTTGGCGGCGCTGTCGCCCAGCCTCCTCCTCCCTCACCGGCTCCTCGCCAGCCGATGTTCCGGTTTTCTCGGGGACGGGCCCCTCCCCAACTACGGCCTCGCGGGCAATCCTTCCGCCGCCGCCGCCCTCCTCGTCCCCAGCGCCAGTATGGGCCGCCGGCGGTCCGACCACTGGGTCAGTCCCCTCCAAACCAGGCTGCGCAGTCCCAGCCACTGCAGCTCCCGCCCCCAATGTCCCAGTCTGTGACGTCGCTGCAGCAGACTTCGTCAGCGTCTGGGACGGCCCTTCAGCCGTTGGCGCAGTCAACTGCCTCCGCGCCTGTGCCCTTGCTGCCGCAGTCGTCAACGCCGGCCTCGGCGGAGACCCCAGCGCCGCCGCTGCCGCCGCCGATCGAGTCCGCGCCGCCCCAGACGGCGCCTCCTGTACCAGTTGCGCTTCCCGTCGCTCCTCCTCAGGCGCTTGTTGAAGACCCTGCTCCGCCGGCGCCACCCCCGTGGCGGCAACCTCGGCGTCAGCATCCCCTCGTGCCAACCGTCCCGCAGACCGCCTTCCGGTTCCCCCCTCCCCGTCGCCCTTACCCGCGTGGATGGGATTCGCCTGAGCGTCCACCAACCACTCCTGATCCCGACCCTCACTGGGAGCCTCACCCCCCTTGGGGCGTGCAGCCGGACCTGGACGTGTGGGGCCGGCAGTGGGGAGAGGAGCCGAGCTACTTCGACCTTTGCCGGTGGGAGCAGCGGATGCGTGGTGTAGGGCGTTGTTTGTCGAACGTGGCGACGGTGTTGGAGCAGCTGAACCACGCGATTGGGCGGCGGAACCTTGCCTCACGGAACCCGCAGCTGAGCGAGTTCGAGCAGGGGGTGGTGAGGGAGGCCGCTGCTCAGGCGATGTCGACGATGCTGTGCCTGCCCCTTGAGCCTGAAGACCCGTCGCTGAATGAAGGGCCTGGAGTGACTGCTTTCCGCAGGGTAGCCATGGCCGCCGAGGAGGCGCCCCTTGAGATAGTACCCGCCCTCGCGGTTGCGCTCCGTTGGATGGATCGGCGGATGTTCCTGATTGCTACCGACCCGTAGGCGTTGTTGTACCCGCTGCCGCCTTTGTTTGTTGTTTCTTCCTCCCCATTGCTGGGGACTTACCTTGCCTGTAGGTGTGTTGTCTCTCTCTCTCTCTCTCTCTCTCTCTCTCTCTCTCTCTCTCTCTCTCTCTCTCTCTCTCTCTCTCTCTCTCTCTCTCAAGCAGTCATGTATTGATAGAGTTCATAGGGTACAGGCATGGCATAGTGTTGGTGACTAACTGGCCGAAGCAAGGCATGCAAGCATATAGGCACGGTAGCTAAGCTAGCAAGCAGGCTGAGCATGAGCACAAAGAGCCCCCAATCCATCCAAATCCAACAGAAGGCCCAAAACCCTGTCAGCACAGACGGTCCCTTGCCCTGAAGCTGCCGCACCCTGTGTTCTCCCCCCTCTCCCTTGCCGCCCCTGCTACTCCCTCTCGTGCCCCACCCTCCAGCTCCTCCTCACCACTCACCATCCTCCCGCTTCCCCGCCGTCCCCTTGCTCACCCACGGTCATCTAAGGCGCCCTAGCAGGAGCTTCCCGCTCCTCATACTCGTCAGGGATCATCTGCCAGAGGTCCGCCAGGCGTGGGGCCCATGGGTCTGCAGCTGCCTGTGGGAAAGCCGCCTCTGCCGCATGGTTGGACTTGGACAGGAGGGAGATTGTTTGGCTACGCTGTAGCATCACCGACCATCTCTGGCGGTAATGCGCTGTTAGCCGAGCAGCCGTGGTGGTGAGTCTGCCCTGCCTAAACCTCTTCTTGGCGGCATGGGTTGCCAACATCCGAAGGAATTGTACGGTGTTAGCAGCCATTGCCCCATAGGTCTCAACCGCCAGCCCAAAGAAGCCAGCATAGCTCGGTCGCCCCTCGTACAGCCGATGCTTCTTCTACGAGGCCTCCTCTGCCGCCCAGCCTGGCGGCCTACGTGCCCTCACGTCCCTCTCCTGCAGAACCGGGTCCGTCACAGTGACATCCGTCACCCAGGTCTCTCCCGACTCCTGATCCTGGATTGCCAAGTCCGCTCTCTTCGTAAGGACCGGTGGAGAGAAGGCCGAGGTCTCATGGTAGGTCTTGTAGCCTGCCTCATTCGCCATTCGTAGCGCAGCGTACACGAGGGCATTGTGTGTTCGGACCGCATCCCCCCATCCTGGCATCGTAGCAGATGGTTCGGTAGGCTCTTATCCTGGATTTTGGATCCCGGCCGCTTGCATGGGCACACCTCAGCTACCGGCAGTTCCATGCCTAGGCGGAGGCCTAAATCCAAGGAGAACTGACCAGGGGAGATGGTAAGGTCAGCTCTCGTGGGCACAGCCTGAAGCCAGTCGCCCGCCCCCACCCCTTTCAAACTAATCAGCCTGATCCCATGCCCCCTGTGCCTGCCCGGCCTGTCCACGACTGTGTCACCCAGAAGGTCCGCCGCCCGCTGCAAGTTAATCTGCTTCGATAGGCCCAGCTGCAAGCTGCCTGTGCCCGTACTGTCCGCTCTGAACTGGCCAAGGACCGCCTGTGCTTGGGCTGGGAGGCCCTCCTCAAGGGCAGACAGCGGGTTGAAGTCAGAGGGGGGGGGGGGGACCAATCATGGGCAAGCAGCGTAATAGCCCTGTGGAGCAGGCACTCCGGGGGAAGGCCCAGCTTCTGCAGTAGGGAGTGTGCCGCCGTCACTGAAGCAATGTGGGCCGCTGGCGCTTCCGAGATAGGGTCTATGATCCCCAGACCACCGAGCCGAACGGGCAGAGTCGCCTGGCGCCACAAGAGACTTTGGTCCACTTCCGCTGTCGGTATGTTCAGCTTCGCCGCTGCGAGGGCCGAGCCCACTAAAGCCTCGCTCCATCCCCTCCACTCCTCCAGGCCCAGGGCTGTTGCCGGTGTCGTCCGCAGTAAGTAAGAGATGCGGCGGGAGATGCTGCGCGAGAGAATCAGCAGGGCCGTCTGAGGGTGGAGCTGGGAGATGAGGCGGAGCGGTGATGCCGCCTCTTCCAGCGTCGCCCTTACTTGGCTGGTGCAGAACTCCCGACCGCCGATAGGGCTACCCAGGACCCTTATGCCTCCTGGGTCCGCGGAGAGGCCTAGAGGCAGCTCCTCCTGGTCTCCTTGCTGTATGGTGCACCACGCCGAGGACTTGGAAACGTTGCAGCGCAGCCCACAGTCGGCTAGGTCACCCGCTATCTTCGTGAAAGCTCGGCAAGCTGCTTCCCTAGGCCCGACGATGGTGATGTCGTCGGCGTAGGCAACCACCGCCACTTCCGGCATCGTCGCCGATATACTTAGGAGGGCTGGCTGGATTGCAACTGCAAACAGGAGGGGACCTAAGGGATCTCCCTGCCTGACGCCGCGCGAGCTCAAAATGTGGTCGGTGCCGAGGCGAGCATCAGTAAGCAGCCGTGATGGGCCGTCGTAGAGATTCCGGACGAGAGGGATGAGAGGACTCAGGTTCGACCATTGTAACGACTCAAGGAAGGCCCGTCACTCAACGCTATTAAATGCGTTTTCGATGTCCAGCTGGATGACGACGCGGCTCTCATCCTCTCGAAGTAGGGAACGGACGGTGTGGATAATACACTCCGCTCCTCCTGGCACCGCTACTCCAAACTGCACAGGTAGTAAGAACTCCCTAATCTTCGGTGCTAGAGAATGAAGCGCCGCTTTAGCAACTATACGAAGAAGTGCCTCGCCTATCGCGATCGGCCGAACCCCGCCATTAGGTTTCTCCAGGGCGATCAATCGGCACGGCAGCAGCAAGTCACGTACGTGCTGCTCTTGAAAACTGCTCAGTAGCCGATTGATTACACTGGCGAAAAGAAGCAACACCTCCTCGTTGGCGAGAGCTGGGTCTCTCAGGTGCTCGAAGCAAGTTCCAGAAGGCCCCGCCCCCACCCCATTCGGACACTTCGCCAAGATTTCGCGAAGTGTATCCAGCGGGACGGACAGATTGGAGTTACCAATTCCGGTTACCCAGCTCGGGATGCCTTCCTCCGCTGCAGGGTGCTTCGCTTGGAGTGCCTCTCGTGTAGCTGGGGATGGTTCTGCCAGTGGGCTTGTTCGCAACGCCGCCACAGCTTTCGAAATATTCCCTTTCTTCATAAGTCCCTCCGCCCGCGCACAAACACCTTCGTCATCCGCTTGATGTCGCATCGGACCCCCCGTATCGGGGATGACCCCAGCTGCCTCGAAAAGGTCCTCCCACTCGCCACGTTGAAATTTGTGCAGACGTGCCTCGATGTGAGTCCAGCGGCTCCCAGACACAGGTTCGGTGGCGGGCCTCAGGGTGAGCCTCGGCAGGAATTGTAGAACGAACCAGCCACCTGGGCAGCTTGGGTTCTTGCCCAAGCGATGAAGTGCGACCAGCATGCACAGACAGTATCTGTCCAGGATCTGTGGGGGCAGGCGGCGGACGAGAAACGGCTGGTCCCCCCGAGACAGGATATCCACGTTCCAGGCCCCCGCAGCCCGCCAGATGTCCTCCTTGCCTGCCAGGTCGGCAGGCGATGGCACATCGGTGTCCTCCGTGGCTGGTTCTCCTTCCCCCCCCAGACTTTGTGGGGCATCTCCACCCGCCGCCCTCTCCTGGCGTTGTGTGGCTCTCCTTGCCGGTTCCTCCTCATCGTCTAAGGAGATTTCTTCAGACTCCTCCTCCTCACCACCCATAAACTCTGGGTCATTCCTGGAGTTGTCAGAACCTTCGCGCTCCTCATTCGCTCCCGCTTCCTGCATCTCCGGCCTGTCGTGGCGTTCCCGCCAAGGGCCTGTTCTAACAGGAATATCAGATCTGGGGATCCGGTTGCGCCCCCCCCGTCCCCCTCTCAGGCCTCCGCGGAAACCCCCGCGAGCTCCCCTCCCCGCTCCGCCTGCCGTTCCTGTTGCTGCGCCGTTGAGTCCCCCCCGTCCTGCCGGCATCCACGGCGTTCGTCCGCCACGTGGCGGGCCCCAGGTGATCGCTCCCAGCCTCGCCGAGCGCCTGGTTCCCATCTGCGGGGGCACGATCTCACCAGCTGCCGCCGCCACCTCTGTCGCTGCTGGCGGGGCGCGGTTGCCGGAGCCCGGCTCCACGGGTGGCGTCATCCCTGGTTCCTGCACGGCCCCTCGGTCGGCGGGTATTTGTTCGCCGGCGGGAAGGACTTCGTCGGAGGCGATCTGCTGGGACGGCCCGCCCTGCGATGACGACGGACGCGTTAGCTCTTGTGGCGACCGCCCTGGCAGCAGCCAGCCCAGGAGGGGTCCCGGGGAACCAGGTCCCAGCCCTGCTCCGGGCCGCCTGGCTGGGCACGAGGCCACTTCCCCTTCTTCCCGCGGGCGGCGGGAGCAGCGGCGGGAGAAGCGACGCTCTTCCCGCGGCGCTGTCTTTCATCCGCCGCCTGGCCGCGCCCCCGCGTGCCTGCGCCCTCGTCAGCAGCAGCCGTTCCGGCGGACGCAGCGGCCGTCGTCGCATCCACTTCGTCCGTTTCACCCTCCCGTCCCCGAGCCGCAGCAGTCACAACCGCCGCGATCTCAGCCGCAGCCACCGGGGCGGGGGATGCCGCCAGCCCCACCTCCACGGGCAGCCCCTGTTCCGACACCGGCACCCGCTCCTCTGCAAGCCGCGATGCAGTCTGGGGGGTGGCAGACGGTGAAGTTAAGCCGCCGCCAGCGGCAGCGGCAGTCCCGTCAGACTGGCCCGAGTCTGCCCCCTGCCCCACCTGCCCCACCGTCGTCTTGGCCGCCGCAGCGCCATCAGGCGCCTCCTCCTCGCCAGCCGCCGCCCCTGGCGTCGCGACCGCGACCACCGCCGCCTCCGGCCTCTCACCTGTGCCTGGAGCGTCAAGGGCTTGAGATCCAGGGTCTGCTGCCCACGGAGCTGGAGGCGGCAGAGGCTGCAGCGGCGGAGTTGCAGCAGTTCCTCCCCCTGATTGGGTACTGGCCTGGCTCCCCTGGTGCTGCCCTCGGGCCCGGGCCCCTGGCTTTGCTGGAGCTTGCCGAGACTGCCCGGGTGGCACCACTCGGCCTCGTGTCAGCAGCAGCATCCGTCCTGCGCTGGATGGACGGGCGACTATGCTGGATCCTCTCCGAGTAGCCGCTGTCTTTCCCTTGCCGGCCACCTTGGTTTTGGGCTGGCCCTTGGGCTTCCCCATGGCGTTGAAGAGCAGCTAAGGACTGGTTCCTAGTGCCTCTCTCTCTCTCTCTCTCTCTCTCTCTCTCTCTCTCTCTCTCTCTCTCTCTCTCTCTCTCTCTCTCTCTCTCTCTCTCTCTCTCTCTAGGTATTGTTCCAATTGTTCTTTCCCGTTGTCGGTGTCCGACTTGGTATTCTCCCACCCTGATGTTGCGCTGCTGCCTTCTGCGCCGCTTCTGCACCATCCACCTTCTTCCTTCGTACCCCATGGGCCTGTTCCGCTTCCCCACCCGCCAACGTTCCTCCTGGCTTCCTCCTCGGCCTCCTCCGCCTAACGGCGTCGCGATTCCTATTTTTCGAGTCGTTGGAGTTGCTCAGAGGTGTGAGTTCGCTATGACCAGGGGTGCATGGCGTGGAAGGTCTCCCAATCATAGAGCAAGGGACGGCCTTTGTTGTCAAACGCGCCTGGGCCGAGGTAACGAGTTACTCGCTCCAAGCGATCCCGAACCGTGGGATCATGTCGTGAGGTTCGCGGTTGGTGGAGTGTGAGAGCTGCCACTAGTTATGAGTCTCGCATGCCGTGGGGGTGACACGTTTGCTACTCTGCTTCGTCAACAATGCCTACGGTTTTGATTGGAGCGCTCTTGACAGGTTCGTCAACCTTCTCTTTCCCCTTCTTGTCAGCCCCTTCCTTCCCTTTCTTCCTTTTCTCTTCTTGTCTATCGGGACCATATGATGCTTGACCCATGGTCGTCCGCCAGGATGCTCTTTTAGGTAGCGAGGCACGAGGTCAATGATGTCATCGGAGTCGCCGCAGCAGTCAGGGATGTCAAAGTCCAAGACATGGACTCCGTTCTCGGGCCGCGCCTGGCCGATGTAGCGCGGTGCAGATTCTGGCTCGTCGTTCCAGTCTTCACCTCTCCAGTGGAGGGGAATGGAGCGCGTATCCAGATCCGTGCTCATTTTGACTCCGCTGTGATTAGCTGCGAGGCCGACAACATATTGAATTTGAGGTCTTTGACGATGAGCATGTCGTTGAGAGTAATTTGTATGTTACTCTCATGTGCCTTCAGGACGACGATGCGACAGGATTTGGCTTCCAGTTTCTGGTTGGCCACGGTGACGACGGTGGGTTGTGGGAGTGGTCGCGCATTCGAGAGGAAAAGGCGCAACCCCACCATGTGTTGTTTTGTGCAGCAGGGGCTAAGTTGGGAGTCGTGCGGAAATAAATACTTTTGTCGGAGTCGCTTGTTGGTCGTGGGTAGCTATCTTCAAAGAAGTAGAACATTTGCGCGTTTTGAAGGAGCAGTTCTAGCTCGTAATTCGACGGGTAGAAGTCACGTCCATTGAATACGATGCTGGTCCGCATTTTAGAGATGACGAGAAACTTGTTTTTAGCAGTCAAAGTTGCTTCATCACTTGGTCGTCAGTTGGTTGAAATTGGCGAATTTGCTTCATGAGCAAAGATTGTTGGCGACAGATCCAAAAGGGACATTAGTTGGGTGCACTATTGGGCATGCATGTAGAGACTGGCGTGGAAGGAGTCGAGATGGAGGGCATACATTTTTTCCTGAAAAATGTTTGGAGTCTCAACTATGGGCGGTGAGTCTACATTTGCAGATCAATCAACGTAAGCAACAGCGCATAACTTGCTGCTACCTCGTGAGGAGATCCAATCCAAAAAGTTTGGGAGGATCACCCCGTTTCCATTGATGGTGTAACAAGGACAATAGGAGGAGATGCAATCGCAATGATTTCTGATGGCGCCTAAGAAATATGGGGTCGCAGTAACAAAGATGATGCGGCAATATAAGTACAAAAAAATCATAGACGATCTACGAACGGTGGCACGGATACATGTTGTCCAAGTTGTTGAAGGGCAAGAAACGACTACCCAATGCTGCGAGTTCCCTCATCCTGGTTGTATGCGTGCTGCTGTCAGCATCCTAGCCACTAGACCACTGGGATAAAAGGGCTTGTTAAGTAGCGGGTCTGTGCGCCCATAACCCCCCAGGCTAGCAAACCTGTATCCCTATGATCAAACAGGCATCTCCAGTGCAGGTCTTCTGACAGCTCCGATTGTGAGGAAGGGGAACCTACACTTCTCAAAGGACTCGCCATCGTTGGCAAATACCGGCAACACGTTGCATTGCAAAAGATGGCAGCGGCCGACATCACGCCCCACGACATAGGGGAATGGTATGAAAAAGAAAAGAAATTAATTTGCATTATTTTGGAATGGAAATATGAAATTAGAGTGTACGAGATTATTAATCTCGCCATTGTAATTTCAGTTGAGTCGATATACGGTAATAGCAAGTCGTATATGTGAATCTTTGTAAACGTTGCTTGTAAGATTGCCATGCAAATACATGCAGGGATGCTGATTAACGTGGCACCCTTGCAAAACGCATCATTTTGGACGCGCATGAAGTGAGTAAGGGCGAGTGAGCATGGCTCGGATTGGTTCGAGTGTATTTAGCTACAATACATTCGTCACATTTTCAAATCAATAATCACATGCTCTTTTAGAAATACACCCAATATATTTGCGCTTATAATCAATTACCACATACATGTGCGTTTGTCTTATGAGCATGCGCCGGCTAAAAAATGTGTAATGACCAGGTATGGAGGCTTGCGGTTGCGGAGAGTAACGGTAAACTGGGAGTTGGACTACGTGGGAGGGCACGGGTGGTACGAGTGATCGTAGCGTTCCTTGTGTTATCTAGCACTTGCGTGTTCACATGGCAACATGGCAAGAACTTCACTAGCAAAAAGAGAATACATAATGATAGCAATAGCAATACCAAAGTGACTACATCTGGGACCTATCAGTCTAGCAACCATGCAGGTCGACCTCCAGCGCAGCTCAGAGGCGGCTTGCCAGAGTAGCAAATCGACGGTGTGCCCACTGGGAGGCGGCTTGCCAACACTGCAAGTTGACGAACTGCCAGCGCAACACCAGCGGGGCTTGCCAACACTGCAAGTCGACGACCTGCCAGCGCTACACTGTCAGAATAAGGAAACAGTAATGATTGACTAAAGTAGGATGAGTGGTACAAGTAGCAACCCTAACAAAGGGTTGTACCCCATAGGGAGTAACCCACTACAGCCCGATGTGCCCCATGCCCGATGTGCTGCACAAGTAACGCAATACCCTCTTCGCAGCATCCCAGTGCATCTTTCGATGCCTACCAGGAGCCACGTAGCGAGCCAGGAGGCTGAGAGGGTACGCGAGGTCAGGTCGTGTGCACGTCATCAGGTACATGAGGCAACCCACAAGCTCTGGGTACGGACCACTCGGCTCTACGGACTCGTCCGAAGGTGGAGCTGAGAGCGAGTGGCCGGTAGACAGAGGAGTGGGCTGTGGCGAGGACCACGTGAAGTCGAAGTGCTGAAGGACCTGCTGCACCATGTGTGACTGAGTGAGGGTGATGGTGCGGCGTGCTCTGTCCCGGGTGATCTGCAAGCCAAGGTAACTCCGCAGCTCACCCAGGTCAGTGCAAGTGTGTCTCTCCTGCAGCTCCGCCTTCACCAAGGCCAGAGCCTCAGTGTCAGCAGTAGCAAAAACCAAGTCGTCAACGTACACAAGAACGTAGAACGGCGGCAGAGAAGTGTCTGTGCGCAGAAACAGCGAAGGGTCAGCAGTCGAGGGAGCGAAGCCAAGAGCCGCAAGCGTAGTCCTCAGTGTGTCGTGCCACTCGCGGGGTGCCTGTCGAAGGCCGTAGACTGGTCGCCGAAGACTCCACTGGGTACCCTCAAGAAACGACCCAGTGAAGCCACGTGGACGGCGCAACCAGATAGCCTCGTGAAGGCTACCCTGCAAGAAGGCTGTCGAGAAGTCGAGGGAGTGCAGCTCGTAGTCTCGCTGTGCTGCAACGTGCACTAGCACCCGAAGAGTGGTCATCTTCGGGGTGGGGGAGAAGGTCTAAAAGAAGTCGACCCCCGCACACTGACTGAAGCCTCGAGCAACGTAACGCGCCTTGAAGACAGGCGGAGAACCCGGCGGCCGCTTCACCCTGAAAATCCACATGCCATCGACTATGTTCGCCCCAGGTGGGGGAACCTCGTCGACGTAGGTGCCTGTGGAATTCCAGGAAGCCATCTCTGCGTCCATGGCTATCTGCCACTGAGAGGAGTACGGACCCGTAATCGCCTCTGCGACGAGGCGACCTCAACCGACGCAGCTACCTGACCTGACTCAGCTACCAGTGCAGACTCAGTGGTCAGTGTGTACAGGCCAGACCCAGGCCTCCGAGTGAACGTGGCGAGGTGCTCACCAGTGCGCGAGTCCGTACAGATTGCCACTAACTCGCCTCCAGGCTGGGTGACAGTGACCCACTGGTCCTGGAGGACAGAGGTAGCCACCAAGTTCTTAGAGAACGAGGGGAGATGGAGACCTGTGAGGAGGCCGGAAGGGGCTGCCGGACAAGGGAGAACAGTGGCGCCACGCGCGACTACCGGGCCCCCAGAGGGGTCGGCCAGTGTGACAGGGACAGGGACTGCGAGCGGTGTGACTGTGGTGCTGTCGCGGAAGAAGCAACGAGACGCGCCGGAGTCGAGAGTAAAAGTGTGCAAAGCCTCCTCAGGCTCTGCACCTGTGCTAGCTGAGTCAACAGCACCAAGACTAACAGCCTCTACGCCACCAGGTGCCTCTCCACCCCCAGCACTAGTACCCCAAGCTCCGCCACCGGGGCTGCCCCACCGGACAGCCCACTCACGAATCTGCTGCGCGGAGAGAGTCTCCGGCGAACGCTGCTGCCGCTGCTGTCCACCCCCAGAACCTCCGCGTCTACCAGCGGCACTACCAACAGGAGTAGACTCACAGGGACCTCCAGTAGTAGTACACCAGGCTCCGCCACCGGGGCTGCCCCACCGGACAGCCCTCTTGCGAAGCTGCTGCGACGAGAGCGGCTCCCGCCGACGAGTACGAGGACCGCCAGCACCAGCACCTCCAGCTCTAGCACGGCTAGCTCCGCCACCGGGGCTGCCCCACCAGATAGTCCACTCGCGAAGCTGCTGCGGCGAGAGAGACTCCTGCACACTCGGCTGCCGCTGACGTAGGACAGTGGTAGTGGCCATGGCAGGCAGTGGCAGCTAGTGGCAGCAGCTGCGTAGCAGCAGTAGCACAGGCGGCAGTAGCAGACGGTAGCACCTAGGGCGGCAGCAGCAGGCGGCAGCACCTAGGGCAGTAGCAAGCAGTAGCTCCTAGGGCAGCAGCACCTAGGGCTCTCCTTTTTTTTTTTTTTTTTTTTTAAGGGTTTAGCAGGGCGCGCTAGGCGCTGGGCAGCAGGGCGCGCTGGCGCGCTGGGCAGCGGGGCGCGCTGGCGCGCCGGGCAGCGGGGCGCGCTGGCGCGCCGGGGCGCGCTGGGCAGCGGGGCGCGCTGGCGCGCTGGGCAGCGGGGCGCTCTGGCGCGCTGGGCAGCGGG